TCAAATCTGATATACATGTACACCTGTTTCGGTTAAACCATCTTTAAATATGCTTCTTAACTTGTCAATATGTATACATATCTTATTTGTATTGCCTAGATGTGACAAAATATTAGAGTTAAAACCAGAAAAAAAGAACAGAAAAAAACATCACTATAATTTGATTGCAAGCTTGCATAATTAATCTAAATAATCATACACTTTTCCCTTAATAACACCGCGTTATGGACGTTATGGTTGTGTGTTTACAACCGATGAGGTTTTCAATAATGCATCAGGTAAGAAAACGATCGATTTTAATATTGGATTAGTTTATTAAAGACAATATTAACACAGTCAGGTTGTTCAAGTTGTGAAGGACGTAAATATATACATAGTACATGTATGTTTTCAATGAGGTAAGATTTACGACTAATTTTTAACAGATCAAGAAGAATTAAACAGTGTAATGTCATATTTTCAGCAGATTTAAAAAACAACATTTTAATGAATGCCTACTACGTAGTTTGAAACATAATATCTAGATTTTTCTCATGTTATTAAGGTTCAGCTGGAGCATGAAACTTAAACCTATGATACTTCTTATTAACCTTCAGATTTACGATCAATTTTCAATAATGATAGTTATACAGTCCCGCGTTCAATTTGTAAAATCGATAGAGGACGTATATAATATATCCGCTTCATGAAATTAATATTGCATTTAGCGTTTCTGAGAAAAAGTGAAAATGTATATATAGAGGGTGTATAAATTATGTAAACGTTGCGATTTTCCAATGTAAATCGACGTTATAAACGCTAAGCAATATGAAATATAAACCTCTTAATAAGTTGTAAAAATTCATGTAACAATACCACGATAAATTCACATACTATTTCAGGGTTACATTACTTTAACATGGATTCGTCTGGAAAAAAGAAATATGAAAGTGAAGACAATTTAAATTCAGCAGCTGAGGCAGATGCACAAATGAACTCGTATTGTGACCCATGTAACAAAAATGGTGTACGATTAAATGCACATGGCTTCTGCCAGAACTGTATGGAACACTTATGTGAGAACTGTTATAAGACGCACAGAGAACCATCTCCTAATGCTGAAACAGATGAACTGGACAGAAGTGACATGGTAGGCCGTTGCAAAGGTTTACGAACAGATGGATGTTGTTTTGAAATTCTTAAAATAACGTATTCAGGTGATATAGACGTCCAAATTCCGTCGGATAAATACGATTGCAGTATTCCGGGAGCAATGGTTATTGCTAAGGATATTGTTGCCGTGTGTGATTTTAGTAATAGTTCTGTCAAAATAGTTGATACACAGCTAAAGAAAACAATTTCTGAGAAGGGATTACCTGATTGTCCAGATAATTCGGCATTACTTCCAAATGATATACTTGCAGTCACTCTGTCTGATATGAAAACAATAGCATTCCTTTCCATACCTACAGAACTGACTGAAGTCCGGCGTCCGGAAGTAGACGGAAATTGTAAGGATTTAGTTTATCATGACAATAAATTAATTGTTACATTCGAGTGGCCTGGTAAAATTCAGATCATGGACTTAGACGGTCACGTATACACGTCCGTAGAAAAAGATTTCTATGGTAACGAATTAAAATCTCCATATGTGACGTATAGTGTCAAGAAGAACATCTATATCTCAGACAGTATCCAATCTACAATATATTACAAGTATGAATCTGAATGGAGAAATATTGAAGGGATACAAAGATGAACACCTCTTTGAACCTTGTGATATGGTTGTTCTTGATGACGGGTCGATATTGGTGTGTAGCAGTGGAAACAACAAAATTCTTTTAATATCAGAAAATCTTGAAACAACAAGAGTGATACTTGAAGAAAAGGACGGACTGTACTGCCCTTGGTCTTTGACTTTAGATAGAGAACAGAACAAACTCTATGTTGGAAGTGGTAAAAAGTGTAATTTTCTTAACGTGTATGATATCTATGTTGAGGCGATTGTTTGAACTGTTTAACAACCGTACCATAACCACTCGTAGTAAATGTAAGCAAGGTTCCAGACTAGCATAACAGTTACCGATAAGACAATAAAATCGAACAATAATATAGATCTACAGAAAATATTTTGATTTTGTGTGACAAAGTAAAATTTCAGTGTTGAATTATTCAGGTGTATGACCGGGTTTTAAAGAATACAACATTGTACTGGTTCGCCTTTAAACTACAATGCCGTTAACATAAAGATGAGGCTGAAAAAGATAAAAGAAAACATCAAAGTAGTTTGAATAAAGAGGGCATGATTCAAAATTATCACACTGGATTTTTTAATGAGAGATATTCGTCTTAAGGTATTGGATGCCTAATTTAGTATCTCCTTTCTGAAGAGTATTCATTTTCAGTGAGGAGACGGCGTGGGTTCAAACCCCAGAACATGCAACTTTTTTTTTGTAATTTTTGACTTTTTTCTTCTTATTGTTTCGTCAAATTATGATTTTCTTTCTTAATTTACACCTAAAATTTGTAATTAAACAAATTTGATGTATAATTTTTACTGTGAGATGTGTGAAATTGGATAGCATAAGCAATTAAAATTATTATAATTAAAAAAAAACAGCCTGTTATACTTTCTTTATATTTTGCACGAATGTTCAGAATAGTTTCTAGATAATCATTATTAAAATATTTTGATGCCCGGATTACATTTGATAAAACCTGACGGGTTTTCTTAAACCCCCCCTCCCCTCTCTCTATCTTATCTGATGTAGTATGACCAGTACCTATCTCAATAAACAAAAAAAATATACATATATCATATACATTTTTCATGTTCTAATTTGTAGTTTTTACAAAAAACTTTAGTTCTTTATCACTCTTCAAATAAGGAAAATCATCGTCGGATACACATGGCCGAACCATTAACATTTATCTTGATTACTGCAGTACACGTTAAGCAATCGTGGGTATCCAACGCTGAAGGAAACTATGAAATAAGTGAAACTTTTCTACGGATAACGGAAACATAATTGTTGTTGTTGTTGTTTTAGAAAACCGGTACAGAGATGAACTTTAATTGTCAATATTTTTCAAACAAGACGGTTAACTTTTTTATTTTGTTGTATCTAGATCTATGCCCGGAATATAGTCAAGTTAAATAACAAAGTTTTAAAGGCCTTTTAAAAGTGTCAATTACACAGCATCTATATCTCAGACAGTATCAAATCTACAATTACAAGCATTTTTTATAATACCTTAAATATAGTAGGTAACACTCATTGTCGATAATACATATGTATCTTGAATATGTCATCATAACAGTGTTACGACAAAATTTACAGATATTTTTTTTTCGGTGAAGTGTTATAAAACCTCAATCGGCTGTTATTAAGACTGACGGAAAGGGCCGAGTAGTTGCGATTGATAAAACCTGTCAGTAACAGTTTGAATGAATTTTACTTATTATCGTAAGAAAAGTCGTGAAAAAATACAATTCTTCCAAGTGTATCTATATATTTTATTGTCTATATCGTATATATTACAAGTGAATAAAACGTCAGACAGTTTGCAGCTTCGTCTAGACACTGTATGCCAAATGTTAAAATTTTAACCATGCCAAAACTGATGCAATAAATAACCACGTATTAATAAATGGATAAGTTGTCTTGGCAGAAAATTCCACTCCACGAAGATCTATTAACATATTACATCATTTAAAAAAATACTAAAGTGATTCTGTTCACGTAGAGCTTCAAACGCCTTAAAATTCAAATAAAATGTATATTTGTCAATCTCAGCACATGTTTATGTTTATGCTATAGATACTCATAAGATCCAATTTTCTCAGGATGATTAGGAAACAGTTTTTAGAAACGGTCAGACAGACGGACGGACTGAAAGACAAATAGAGGGTGAATCTTGAAACATCCCTAGTATCCCATATGATGCGTTTGATGATCAGAAACATATATCTGAAGTAAATACCTTAAGAAATAAAGATCCTATATAGTGAAAAAGTATAAAAAAAATACTTAAACAAGGCCGCCGACGCTTGGTGAGAACTGGGACAGCAGATATCTTATGTCCCAGGTGAGAAGGACTATGGAGAAGGGGATATCCGCCATAGCAAATACAATTTCATTCATGTAAATTACTTATTCTTACATATAAAATACATTGATATAATTCTAAATTGATATTTAAATATTATTTGTCGTTATTTCTTATTTCTGTATCCCATTTTCTATTTCTATTATTCTATGTGCCAATTTCTTAACTAAATGTTCAGGTTTGTAAATTGTTCATGTAATAATTGTGTTTCTTTGTCAACAAAGAATATAATGTATTTCAACACATCAAAGTTAACTTTTCGAAATTAAAGAGATGAAAATTGCAATTTGAAATTTAATTAGAATTTATGGGACTTTACGACTAGATTACGAGGTTCCCCTTATAGTACGCATCGTCGCGAATTTGCAACAAGGGTAGCCTAGCACAACACAAATCGCAATTTTCGGCCCTTTCCGTCAATCTTCGGATAAGATAATTATTATGATTATCATTCTCTTTCAACCTTTAGGATAATATACAATAGTTCTCTCGCGCATTAATTAAGTGCTGTATTGTTAATTATTCAGAAATCGAGTGGAATGCCGATTTAAACGGCTAATTGTAAGTATTGTTTATGTTTTTCTCTAGTGATTCATTTAAGATGTATTTATTTGAAAAACGAAAAATGGAGTTCCGTGTAGAGTGGTTTAAGGCTTCCAGTGATCTAAGCTGTTTCAAAATGAAAATTATATTAAACACCCCTGAGGAAACGAACGACGTTTTGTTAAATCAAACTATACTCTTTAATCAAAGTTTAAATTACCACCATATTATTACATTTCATTTGATTAAATAAAAGATCTGTGAGGTTAAAGTGGACAAATACGTCAGTTACAAAATAGAATAATGGAATAACAAATGAGTTGCAATTTGTCTCCCTTAATATTACGTCGTCACTTTCCACACGGTGATCTCCCCTTACAGTATTCGTAACCACAACAAAGCAGGAAGTCGGATATTTCATCAAACATTGAAATGGCGTGAATGTACATATAATCAGGTAAAATAAGTGAATAGTTTTTATTTTATGAAGAAGAATTAAAAGTTAAACAACTTTTAATAAATATTATAGCTACATTTCATTATATGTCAATTAAATAATATTTTAGGCCAATTTTGAAAACGAAAGTAGGGTAAATAAAAACGCAAAATCGTAAATTGCTATTTTTTCGACAAATTTTGGGGATACTTTCATCAATTATTTTCTTTGATTTTCTATACAGTAAAATATTATTCACCTTCAGATATGGAAAATGCAAACTTCTAACCTTGAAATCTGAAAACGAAAGTAGGGTTTACCTGTGAGCAAATATCTACAATAAATTTCATTTTAACTGATAGCAGACCGATAATTCGCCTTTGAAAATGAAAGGAGGAAATGTTAACTTTAAACAATTAAAAGAAAAGGGTGCAAGTGCATGTACAGGGATAACAAAAATTCCCATTGTGAAAAGTTTATTTATATTTGAAATTAATTTTATTATGATCAATCAACCGTCACATTTGCAGTTAGCTAGTAAAACGTCTTTTTAGTATGAGCTGTATATATATTCCAGGCAAGTTTAACAAAATTTTGTTATGTATGCATGAAACTAAGTATATAATACTTTACAAAAATTTGTCATTCAAATAACATATAGATTTCTTTATGAAATAATCTATCACTGGTAATGCGTAATGAAGATCGAAACCTTCATGTTATTGTTCAATACCATCTTAATATCAGAGGTTTGTAATACATCTAAAAGTATATCCATGTTTATATACAAGTAAAATAACGCTATAATATCAACACGAGGCCAAAAATGAAATTATGTTTGTTTCTCCTTCCCGACCCATTTAAATAAGGGGTGGGTAGGTAGGTAGGAAATTTATATATACATATTCATAATATATTACAATATTCACAACTGAAATATGCAACAATTTATTAACTATGCTAGCTGTCTTAAATATCAGATTATATTGTACCTTTTTATTGTACTCTGAAAGAAAAAAATACTTTCATCCCCTAAGAACCTGAAAAAATCTTTTGGGTAGGGACAAATTTGTTGGGTAGGTAGGGAAGGGGAAACAAATTAAATTTTATTTTAGGCCTGAAAAGAATTTTTAAACATTTTTAAACTTTATCTTTTCAAAAGATACTAGGTCCATCAATATCTGATTTTACTTGCAGAAATCATTTCGGTATTAAAATATTTTATTGTATTCACGAAGAAAATGTAAATAGTGCCTGTTTAAAGATGTAAACTTGCCCGAAATGAACGGGTACCCCGGGACGGTTTTTCAGATCCAAACCGCAACATATGACATATAGAACAAAAGTGCCCTAGAATCTAGCTTTGGATGTTGAAATCATTTAGCCATCAGAAGGTGATGCATTCGAGGCAATTACTCGTCGACAAAAGTTTTCATTAGTCAAATCAAATACGCTATAATATATAAATATGAGCCGTGTCACGACAAAACCAACATAATGGGTTTGCGACCAGCATGGATCCAGACCAGCCTGCGCATCCGCGCAGTCTGATCAGGATCCATGGTGTTCGCTATCAGTTTCTCTACTTGTTATAGGGTTTGTAAACGAACAGCATGGGTCCTTATCAGACTGTGCGGAGGCGCAGGCTGGTCCGGATCCATGCTAGTCGCAAACGCACTATGTTGGTTTTGTCGTGACGCGGCTCAATTATACTCTCAATGGTCATCTATTTTTGTTATATTTTTCTCATATATCGCAATGTTTTACTTTAAAAAGTTATCTATAATTGTTTAGAATGATAAACATCAAAATTATTAGCAGTCGTATTTTAAAGCCATGTTGACGTATCCAAAATAATGTTTACCTATAATCTCATAGAATTCCACTATTAAATTCATTAGCAAAGCTACGAAAAACTGGACCAAAGAACATGTTGTTGATAACATCACCATACTGCTTTTAGTAAATATGATTTAAAGACATTTTCTACAGTTTCATAAAAAACTAATCCTTTCATAGAATTTTCTAAATTTTTTGTATGATGAGTAAAATTTAATGACGAACTTAAAAATAAAAATAAAAATATATGTTGACGTGTTGGATTTCTTGTAAAATGGTAAAACTGTCAAAATATCCTAACTGTGTTATAACGAATAGAAAATGTATAAGATAGCTTAAAACACACAACGAGCATTGTGTTATGCAAAGATAACCTTATCTAATGATTCTGTATGAAACAAATGATAATCTGAACATATTTCTTTAAAAAATGAGTTTTCCATGTTCCTCAACCGAACAAAAATTGAGAAAAATGAACATGAATTCTCAGAATAATTAGACATATTGAAAAAAGTGTTTCATAGGATTTTCTAATTTTTTTGTTTGTTGTGTAAAATTTAATGACAAATTCAAAAAGAAAAAGAAAAATATATGTTGGCGTGTTGGATTTTTTGAAAAATGGCAGTTTCCATGGTAACCGTATATCTCAAAATTGTCAAAATAGCCAAACTATGTTATAATAATGTATAAAATAGCTTATTCCGCTCACAATAAACATAATTTTATACAAAGCTTGCTTTATCTTAAGGTTCTGTATAAAACAAACGATAATTTGAACATATTTCTTTAAAAAATGAGTTTTCATGCTTTTTAACTAAACAAAAAATGAGAAAAATAAACATGAATTCTGTAAAAAATTAAAGCTATAAAGAAATTCTTTCATATAATTTTCTACATTATTGATTTATCAAGTAACATTTGATGGTGGATTCAAAAATAGAAATAAAATATATATGTTGACGTGTTAGTTTTTTGTAAACGGGCAGTTTCCATGGTTACCGCATATGCCAACTGTCAAAATTACCACGCTTTCTTAAGAAATATCAGTGTTCTACTAAATGTATTGTCAAATATACAACAAAAACATGTTGTAATAAAAATTTCTTTTTCTTTTGATGTTATATTAAGTAAATGATACTGAATATCTTTTTAAAACATATCTAGGGCCATATTATTTTTTTCACTCGACTTACATACCCGAACAGTAAGCAAGTATTCAGAAATATACAAAGAAAATAATGAAATTCGGAACATTTCTTGGATATTAATTTTGTTTTTTTATTCAACACTTTTAAAATATATCATTTTAAACTTCTTTGCCCAGTTGTCTGCCAGTAATCAAGTCGCGACGCACTTTCGTCACTATAACACAAGTGGGTGGGGTAACGCGCGCAGAATTCTCATCAATGCTGTCGTAGTTAATGCTTGGAGAAATCCTTTATGTGATTTTGTCTAAACGACCTCTTATTCTTTTGAACCGATCTCCTTTTGAACATTTAGAAATATCTATTCTGTATTATTTACTCATTATTTGCTTACAGCCGAAATTTAAACACTTATCCGAATACTATTCAACTTTACCTTCATTTGAAGAGTAATTATCCGTGATTATCTTTTTTGGAAGCGCATAACGATGCGCACAGAAAACTACCGAAAACGTCTTTAAATCTTTAAATGATCTTTAAGGCATCTTCTCAATTTATCAAGTTTGCTACAACTCTGTTATTAAATGATATATTTTGTTTGTACTTGGACAAAGCGCCATTTACGACCAACATTCAAATGTTGTTACATACAAATGACATTTACCATTAACAGACCTTCAGTCATAAAGGCCTCTATCAGTAAATTTTTCACTTGATAAAAAGTAAAAAGGTTTTGCTTCTGTTCGGGCTGGTCTTTTTATTTAGCAATAAAATCGTTTGCGGAGCCTATTCATTACACATAATGATAGTTCAAGTTTTTTATGCAATGGCCATTTAGGAAAAATTTTAATTCACGGTACATGTATTATTATATCTGTGTATGTGATAAAGCTATAACAATATTTAAAAAAAGAACGTTTTATATATTTTCAGAATCGATTCAATTGAAGATGGAAGTGTCTGGAAAAAAGAAAGACCCAACTAAAGGTAATTCAAAATATGCAGCTGGGGTAAACGCACATATATATTGTGACCCATGTAACAAAGATGGCATACGATTAACTGCACATGGCTTCTGCCAGGATTGTATGGAACATTTATGCGAGAGCTGTTACAAAACGCATAGAAAACCAGCACCATGCAGGAACCATGTACTACTAGACACGTCTCAGATGCCAAAAACACAGAGTTCAGGACATCTTCAAGCTCCACATGACTTGACTGAACAATGTCAGTTGCATAAAGGTAAACTGATTGAGTACATCTGTCATGATCACAATACCTTCGGCTGTAGTACATGTATAACACTGAACCATAGGAACTGCAAAATAAACTACATACCAGATGTCTCTAAAAAGTACAGGACAAGTGACGAGTACAGAGAGCTTCTACGATCTCTAGCGGCCCTTCAGAAACAGTTCAAAACGTTAATTGAAAACACAAAAGCTAACAAAAAGAAGATCCTGAAGAACAAATATTTGGTGAAAGATGAAATTAAGAAGTTTCGCCAAGAAATTAACATTATGTTTGACAAGCTAGAAGCAAGCCTTCAGAAAAATGCGGATGATATATTTGCCAAGGAGTCAGCAAGGATGGAATCTTTAGCATCAAGCTCTGTCAAATTGAAGAAGGATATTGAACAGCTTCAAAATGACATCAGCAAACTGGAAATGGCAAATCAATGTAATGCACTCTACATCCTTTCCAAAGAAAACAAAGAAATTATACAAAGCTACACCTCTGCCGAGAAACAAACACACAAAGACAACTACGTTCACAGCTTTGTCTTTACACCAAATGTTAATCTAAAGGAAATACTTGGATCAAAAGCAGGAATTGGTGAACTGCATAAAAGTGACATCGTAAGAAATGTAAAAACTGATGCAGATTACTTTGAAACGCTTCATGTCACGTATTCAGATGAAATAGATGTCAAAAGTCTGTCAGATAAAAGAGATTGTTGTATTCCAGGAGCAGTGTTTATTGCTAAGCATCGCATTGCAGTTCTTGATTCGACAAATCGTGCTCTCAAAATAGTTGATACAAAGACGAAGAAGATAACTTGCGAGAAAAAGTTATCCGAATCTCCAGATAATTTAGATTCACTTCCAAATGATTTGTTTGCAGTGACCTTTAGTTGTAAGGAAATGATAACGTTTTTATCAATACCTAATGGCTTGTCTGAAGTCCGGAGTCTGAAAGTAGATGGAAAGTGTAAGGATTTAGTTTATCATGACAATAAAATAATTGTTACATTCGAGTGGCCTGGTAAAGTTCAGATCATGAACTTATACGGTCATGTATATCATTCCGTAGAAAGAGATTTCTATGGTAACGAATTGAAATGTCCATGTGTCGCAGTTGATGTTGAGAAGAACTTTTACATCTCAGACTGGAATGCTTGGACAGTAACAAGAATGAATCTAGATGGAGAAGTATTAAACGGTTTCAAAGATGAACGCCTTGTGAAACCCTGTGAAATGGTTGTTCTAGATGACAGGTCTATTTTGGTGTGCAGCAGCGGAAACCACATCATCTTTTTAATATCAGAAAACCTTGAAAAAGGTAGAGTGTTACTTGAGAAAAAAGATGGTTTGCTCTGTCCATGGTCTTTGGCTTTAGATAAAGTAAACAAGCTGTATGTTGGAAGTGGTGGTGCGTGTAATCTTTTAAAAGTTTACGATTTGAAGTAACAAGCAAAACAGCTTTTTCAGTGATTGTAAATAATTCATTTTCGTTTTTGTTTCGCCTGCGGCAGGGTAGCGGCCGCATATGGAGATCACTACTCCTAAGAAACTACAGGTGCAATTTTTAAATTTTGTTCGGACTTCTTCCCATTTATATCACTAATGCAAGTTCAATGAAACATTTCATGATTGCTAGATTACTCAAATACTTTGGCTTATTTATTACACATGTTTTCCAGTTGAATATTTTTTGGCTGAGTTACAAAAGTGTTAAGGCCTGCAAATGATTTTTTGTCTTGCCAGTCACACAGAAGCTGATACATGTTACAAAGTAGCCACAACTTGTGGGGATCACTTCTTTAGGTCTTTATGTCAGTTAGACCGTAACAAAACGTGACATCAGACAACACATGTGGTCAGTCATCGCTCTTGTTTTATGCTTGTAATGATTGAAAAATAGTACTAATTTTGTCAAATATTATTTATTTGCATTAATCATCTAATATTTAGAAATAATACAAGCATTAACGGTATTGTATATTTGTGTAACAAGAGATTCTTCCGAGCTGTAATGAATTGATTATGTATTTTAAATTGATAAAGCAAGACTTGCCGTTATGTAGATAGAATGCAAATGTTTCACCGATTTTTATCATCAAACGTATTTCATATACTGTGACATATGCAGTGGAACTCGGTTATAAGGAATTCTTCGGACCATGACATATAGTTCGCTATATCCGAGGTTTCTTATAAACAATATAAGGAAATAGTATCTTATAAACAACTTGTATAGCAAACATAAACATGTAACGAACAACTCACAAGTTCGACGATTTGATATACATATTTGTTATTTATTCTTATCATAAGACATAAATTTACAGTGAAATCATAAGTCCGTTTACTTACACATTCATAACATCGTATTTTTTTTTAAAAAATCATATTGTTTTTTATTTTGATGTCGCATGCTACTTGCGCTTTTGCCGTTTTACAACGCATATACATAGTTCTACTTTTTTAACCTAATTATAAATCATAATAATTTCATTTCGGGAGCGGGTATTTGATAAAACAAGATTAACTTTATTTATTGTTGGCGTCCGTGCCGAAGTGCGACGCCCTTTATGGATTGAACTCAGATTTTGTGAAAGGGCAATTGCAACTTCTTGGGCCTTTTGTCGGTCATAGTTGCTGATCTTTCCAATTAGTATGAGAGTGTTTGATTATCAAAAATGAAAAGTCGCGTTATCTACAATGAATAGCGAACTGGAGAATTTCGCAATGCAAACATATTCAAATGAAATTATTCTATCCGTCAATCAATCTTTTTATTAATCATTTTGTAGTATACAGTAGGTAATTATGTATGTTATTGTTGTACCTATAAATCGAATGATGCCCCTAACATTGTGTAAGTCCGAAAATCTATTTATAGATGTAGTTTTAATTTAACGAAACGGTCATTTGTGTTACGCTATGGTAATAAATAACGAACTGGAGAATTTTGAAGGAAATGAGATGCAAACATATTCAAACAGTTAATTGCACTCTTTATGTGGGCATTTTTTACGAACTGTTATATCATAGTATTATCATCTTGAAATAGTCATTTTCGTAGGTTCTTTCTGGTTTTCTTTTTTACGACCCTGATTGCACTTATGACATTTTTACCGTGAATATTTAAATAGACCTAGTTCATAACTTTAAATGTCGCTTTTATTTTGACGTTGTTTGTGTGTTTGTTTGTTTCATTTTCCGCCTTTTCCCAACAGTATTTCAGTCATATAGGCGGGTAGCTTCCTAACCATCGTTCCTGGAGAGTTACACCAGTAATAGACTACCTTCCTACCAAAGCATCTCCCGGGGATCGAACCCACGCCAGAGAGGTAACTGGATTTGAAGTCACCTCGACCACGGAGACGGTTGTACAACAGCTAACAGGTCTAGCAGTAGTATAGTATAAAACCTATTCGCTGTTCAAGTCTCTTTAGCTTAAATCGAACCTGATTTCCCGAAATTGTGCTGTAAGGCAATCGATTTTATGGTAGTTATAGTGGAATGTTGATTTGCGGAATATTGTGACATTTTAACAGAAACTTTCGTCTGCAAATTTAACATGAGTTGTTATGGGTTTACTATAGGAATGTAAACACGCTGGTGGGTCAGACGTGGCTTTTGAATAGTAGATTGATTTCCCAATTAATCAATTAACAGACTTTGTTCATTTTGACTACTATTTTGTATGTTCCAAAGAAAATACCACATGAACTTGAAATTCTATCAAATAACCATTAATGATAATATCCAAAAATACCCCCTATATAGTATAAATAAACTTATACCAGATAGGGGGTATATTTTGGATATTGTATTAACCTGTTTATTTTGGATATTTTCTTTATTAACTTAATATTGATTAATTTGATTAACTTAATATTGATTGAATTTAAAGTTCCTGTGGAGAAAACCTTTTATATTCCAATCTGTAGCATGCCTACCAAAGTTTATGATGAACAATGCCTTTCGTCCACCCATTCATAAATGATATACAATTCTGGTTAAAACCAATTAACCATTGAAACGTTTATAAAAATATCTGGTCATCAGATATTTACTAGTTCATGTTCACTTACTGCATATCTTGCTTGGACGCCCATTGATGTTTTGCATCAATGCTTTTCTTGTTATTTATTTACATGACATTTAGTATCAACGGCCACGTTATAAATGCACTAAACTTTATTTAAACAAAATAACAACAAAAATAAACAGTTACTGTATACCAAAAGGTAAATGTAAATCTTATGGAAAGCCTTGACTGTCTTATAATTATAAACCTGAACATTGTTATGTCCAAATAGCAATATATTGAGTCAACCTTTCCTTATACAACGTGCACTCATCAATATATTATGTGGATCCATCTTTATATGTAGTAAACTGAACAATATATGATGTCAATGTGTCTTTATATGATGTCAATATATCATTATACGATGTGCATTTTTGAATATATTATATGGAACCATTCTTATATAAGGTCAAAATAACAATATATTATGTCAGTCTGTTCTTATATGCTGTCAGTCTGTCATTATATGATGTGAAGTTTTGAATATATTATGTGGAATAATACTTATATAGAGTCAACATTATATGATGTCAGTGTCTCCTTAAATTATGTCAATCTATCAATATACACTGTGCATTTTCAGTATATTATGTAGAATCGTTTTTTATATAGAGTCAACTTAACAATATATGATGTAAATTTTTCATTATACGATGTGCATTATTGTATATATTGTGTGGAACCATATTTATATAGAGTCAAAATAACATTATTTTATGTAGAATTGTCTTTATATAGAGTCAACGTAACAATATTTGATGTCAACACGTCCTTATATGATGCCAATCTTTCATTATACGATGTGCATTAATGAATATATTATGTGAAACCATCTTTATATATAGTCAACTTAACATGATAATTATGATGTGTATGTGTCCTTTTATGATGTCAGTCTTTCATTATATGATGTGCAATTACGAATATATTATGTGGAACCATTCTTATATAGAGTCAAAACAACACTTTATTATGTAGAAGTGTCTTTATATAGAGTCAGCTTAACATTTACTTTGATGTCGCCACGAACGGTGCATAGTGAGATATAACCCGGTAAATTTTACCCCATCAGTATAATGACAGAAGCACACGATATAATGATGTTTGCACTTCATATAAAGCAGCGGTCGTATAACAGTAGATGCACATCGTATAATGAAAGATTGACATACTATATTGATAAGTTGACTGTATATAATGATGCAACCACATGATATATTCATAAATGCACATCGTATAATAATAGATGCACATCGTATAATGAAAGATCGACATAATATATTGATAAGTTGACTGTATATAATGATTCTACCACATCATATATTCATAAATGCACATCGTATAATGATTGGTCGACATCAAATAAAGACACATTGACATCATATATTGTTCAGTTGACTTCATATAAGGACGCATCAACATAATATATTCATGAGTGCACATTGTATAAAGAAAGAGTGACACAACAACGTTCATTTTTAGCTCGACTTTTTTTTTTTGAAAAAAAAAGTAGAGGTATTGTTATAGTCAGGTCGGCGTTGCCGTTGCCGTTGCCGTTCCCGTCCGCAAACTTGTACCTGGATCATAACTTTTTTATTTCTTGGTGTATTGTCTTCATACTTGGCCACATCAATCCTTCGGACAAGACCTTTCAGTAGACCACACTTACCTTGACCTTCATCCATAAATGACCTTGACCTTCAAGGTTAAAAGTCCAATTTTTGCTTGTTCATGCTGTTATTGGCTGTAACTTTGTTATTTTTGAATGGATTGTCTTCAAACTTGAACATAATTATCTTCGGGGATATCCCTTAAAAATAACTAGACAGACCTTGACCTTCACTCATAAATGACCTTGACTTTGAAGGTCAAATTATTGAAATTTTCATTTTTTTGGCTATTATTGGCTGTAACTTTGTTATTTTTGAATGGATTGTCTTGAAACTTGAACATAATAATCTTCAAAGATAACTGTTGAAAATATACCGAAAGACCTTGACCTCCACTCATTAATGACATTGTCTTTGAAGGTCAAATTATTGAATTTTTTTCATTGTTTTGGCGGTAACTGACTGTAACTTTGCTATTATTGAAGGGATCAACTTCATATTATAACAGAACATTCTTAAGGACCAGACCTCGTTGTTTATCAAACCCAAATTTGCTTGGGCTCTTTAATGACCTTGACATTGAAGGTTAAATTACTGAATTTTCTCAGATTTGTGCATTAAATGACCATAATTATGTATTTATTGGTGTGTGTGTGTGTGTGTGTGTGTGTGTGTGTATATATATATATTTACAACAACAACAACAACAAGAATTGCGTCATTGTTTCTATTTATAGAATTGCGTCATTGTTTCTATTTATAGAATTGCGTCATTGTTTCTATTTTTAGAAATTGCGTCATTGTTTCTATTTTTAGAAATTGCGTCATTGTTTCTATTTTTAGAAATTGCGTCATTGTTGCTATTTTTAGAAATTGCGTCATTGTTTCTATTTTTAGAAATTGTGTCATTGTTTCTATTTTTAGAAATTGCGTCATTGTTGCTATTTTTAGAAATTGCGTCATTGTTTCTATTTTTAGAAATTGTGTCATTGTTTCTATTTTTAGAAATTGCGTCATTGTTGCTATTTTTAGAAATTGCGTCATTGTTTCTATTTTTAGAAATTGCGTCATTGTTGCTATTTTTAGAAATTGCGTCATTGTTGCTATTTCTAGAAATTGCATCATTGTTGCTATTTTTAGAAATTGCGTCATTGTTGCTATTTTTAGAAATTGCGCTATTGTTTCTATTTTTAGAAATTGCGTCATTGTTGCTATTTATAGAAATTGCGTCATTGTTTCTATTTTTAGAAATTGCGTCATTGTTTCTATTTTTAGAAATTGCATCATGTTGCTATTTTTAGAAATTGCGTCATTGTTGCCTTTTTTAGAAATTGCGTCATTGTTTCTATTTTTAGAAATTGCATCATGTTGCTATTTTTAGAAATTGCGTAATGTTGCTATTTTTAGAAATTGCGTAATGTTTCTATTCATATATATATACAAAATATATAAACGAAACTAATGTGACAAGACAGACCAACTAAATTTATAAAAAGGAAACATTAAGATATGTTCAAACCTTTCTATGTTTGCGTTTAGAAAAAGTAAAAAGTCGAGCGTTGCCCCCGCCCGGCGGTGGCTCTTGTTTATAATCATAAGACAGTCAAGGCTTTCCATAAATCTTGCCAGCCCATTCCAATATTATAATGGACAAAAATTATCTTAATTTACTTTTTGCTATACAAAAATCGCTGGTTATCGATTACTTGCCTGATAAACATGTATCATACTTAGACTGTATCGTTCCGTCTTTGCTACTTAAGTCCCGTCAAGGTGTGAAGGCATGTTAATTACAAAATCACAATTTGCTGTAACATGTATAAACAACTGAATTACTGTAGTAAATGGTTGGTTGTGACCGCAATGTGTAGTTCCTTGTAACCGATGGTACGCTATAAGCGACCTCGCTAGAAACAAAGACTTTTTATATAAGATAAAGAATAGAAAAAATCGGGACCAATCGAAAGAGTTTCTTAATTATAACGCTGTATCCGAGTTATAATTGAGCTTCACTGTATAAACATGTTCTTATCTGTCCATGCATGGAGTATCTTTTCATTTGGATGACACTATCCATGCATGTATATTATCATTAGGTATAACTGTATACAGTCTTTCATTTTTTTTTACGCTGTTAGACTAACCGTATGCTTTAGGATAAGTCAATATATAGGCACAATACAAGAATTAATTTACATTTTACAGGCATTTATTATTGTGCAATACTTATCACCATATTTCTACTGCTTGACTAACACAGACAAAGCTAATTTTTTCATATTCTTACCTATTTTTTCCATAGATTTTAAGTGTCGTTTGCAATTAGAAGTTGCTTTTTTTGCTCACTTTACGGTATTTTACATTTTAATACATTTGAAAATAAAAAATGAATCTGGGGGCATAATGTTTTAAAGAAAAAGATCTACTGCTCTGTCATTTGTTTTTGGTTTTAAATAAAGTGTTATGTTGTTCTTGTAAAAATATTTTTTCAAACTATATAATTGAAAGAAAGAATCAAAACATTCTAAACAGAAAGTTGATAAAATAAGATATATAATGTTCAGATTTTCAAATAAACTTCATTCATTACATCTTATTTTAATTGCTGTTTTAAAATATGAAAGATATATTAATATTGTATTGAAATAAGTATCGAT